TACGAAATACGTTGATCACGGAAAAGAGAAAAACGTGCTTTAATAAAATGTATATTACCTATATACACTGTGTACTGTTTAGGATCATCTTAGATCTATATCTAAGATAATAAAAATAAAAATAAAAAAATCGTTCTCCGAGCATTAGACATACGTATAATAGATAGGTTTACTGCAATATTTTAAAACCCATTCATTCGTCTCCATTTACGGCTTCCACTTTGATCGAAATAATTCCGATGGAACGAATGGAGTCCACCTTAACATATTACCATGTAGATACCTATATATTATAATATTATAATACATATATATGGTAAATAGGTCAGCGTGTATCATCTCTCTTCGCCGGTTTAAGGGTATTTTTAGAAGTTGTACATGTAGCAGCGTTAGGGATACGTATACACGACCGGAAGATATATTTATATATAGGTAATATTGTAGGTATATGTGACACAGGACATATGTGGGTTAGGTGGTCTTTGGACATTAACCATTCACAAAGACGAATAGAATATGCGAAAAAAATACCCTATTATATAAGGGTTGAGTGTATTATATAAGCTATATAATATGTGCTACGCGGGACGACCACGCGAGGACGACCCTTTGTGGTAAACTCGTTCTTAGGTAAAGAAGGCGCGGCGGCGGTTAATGATAAATGATATAATATCAATACTATCAAACCGTCGCGAGTGGCCTTAAACCGATGAAAAATCGTTTAAAGAAAAATGTGTCTCACATTAATGTCCGATTATACGTATTAGTGTACAGCTGAACAATAGCGAGATGCGAACCGAACGTGACAGTCCAAGAATTAGTTATCATGGCAGATGTTGCTGGAGTTTGAAAAGAGCTCGGAGCCTATGTAAGTAATTTATTTTATTTCTGCACGATATAAAAATAAAAATAAAAACATAAAATATACCCAACAAAATTCAATTGGGTTAAAAATGTTCTTGAAAATACACTAGGTTGGGCGGGTAAATATTTTGGATGGCAAGAAGAATGAGAACCGAATAGTATATGATATGGCCCTTGCGGGGGCCTTATACAGATAATACTTAAGACCCTATAAATAATATTATATTTCATTAAACAAATCATGCGATGGATTTGTATTTTATTGGACGTTGTAAAAGGAAAGCTAAAAATGACCTACATCGGATCACATCGGCCATGTAGGTACGTAGTTTATGTACATTATACACATATATATTAACCTACATGTGGACAGTGGACACTTAAGAAGGTTATTCTTGTACGCAGTCTGGACAAACGATAAGCCATAGATAGAAACAGTACGTGGGATTAGTAGTCATAATATAGTATATTATAATATAAATAATTTAAAAAATGACACTTAATTCTTTTTTCATACCTATACATGAACATAAATGATCAATCAATTGACAACAGAGTTGAAAAACGTCCATATAAAATATAACAGAAAGGGAAAAAACAAATGTACGACGTCACGTTTTCAAGAAAGCTGAAATATGTGCTCACATATACCTAATTACGTTATTACCGTGTAATAAATAGTTTAAGATGTATGTACAATACATATATATACTGTCCACTAAGAAAAAACAGTAGTAATAATTTTCGTTCATTCGTGACTGGTTGGTTTTGAGAATATTAAACTCGTCGGATAAATATATGATGAAAAAAGTGATTTTATTTTTGAATAATAAACTTTTGTTTCACAAAATAATATAGTACATGAATGTAGACAATCTGAACAAATTAGAATATATTTATATTAACAATATTAACTGAATAAACAATAAAATAATTTCAACATTTTACTAGTCATGCGAGTTCACAATGAAGACTAAACGTAATTCGAGTGTTAAATTTATTATGGATATAACACCCTGCAAAAAAATGTATAATCAATATTAAATACAAATCATTATATAGAATAATTTACTATAATAATTTATAAAATATTAAACGTATCAGGAGAAATAATCACGAGGTTGTTTTGTATGAAAGCACATTTTTTTAAACATTTTAATGTTTGTTTAACATTTACTAAAAGAAACTTGGTGGTTATGATTAAAGTTGTCCAAAATAATACGGAAAGTTCTAAAACATATCCATTATAGTCTCTGTGTTAAAATGAGTAGCCAACTATGTTCGTTTATTTCGTTTGTAACGATTAAACAAGAACAGACGGGAGATAAAGCATCAGCTTGTGTTAAATGTAATGAGAAAAACAACCTTAAATTATTTAAGTGAACTGAGACATTTTTTAGGATTGTACTATTATAGTATAGAACAAAATTGGAAATGTTAAAAACATATTAAATATAAAATATATATTTTAATCAAGTTCGTTGATTTAAAATAAAACTCTTATCATAGTTATATAAATAATATAATTTATAATCAGAAAATTATATTATTTTTAAATTATTTTGATCAATGAATTATTATTTATATTAATCAACTTCTCTCGACCGCGATTAATGGCGAATTAATTAATAAACGTCAAGATTAAAAATTAATTTTATATTGCAATTTACTGTATTATCTGTGCCTGTAGTCTGTAAAAAGATAAAACAAAATATTATTAAATTTTACTTCATATAATAAATTCTATTGGCAATGACATTATCATTGTCATAAAATGTTCAAATCGATTAAAAAACTGTTGTTTGTTAAACTTTTATCTGTAGTTTCAAACAATTATTTAAAAGAAGAAAATTTGTAAACAGTATAAAGTTTAAATGGAAAAACGTAAAACGATGATAATATAATATGACTCACATTTTTAATGTTTTTTTCAGATGTTTGAAGAAAAACGAAAAAATATAATATAGGTGCTTGAATTGTATTGCGTTTTAATTAAATGACCTCTTCCCAAGACATGGATTATTTGTTATTCTTAACTAATAACTCACAAGTTAAAAGTTTATAACAGTGTAAAATGATTTATCGTAACTTTAAATTATAGGTCGTCTGCGTGGATACCATACTACACTATAGGTCTATATAGGTCCTAGAATAAATTCCTAAAATTTAATTTGATAATAAATATTGACTATATTGTGGTATTATATTTTCACATTTTTAAAATAAATGTTTTTAAGACATCGCATATTATACTAGTGAGAATTTTTAATTACATAATACACACATTAAAATACATTTGTTATTATATTTTTAATTTTAAATTACTCACCTATATATTGATGATATAATGAGCATGAGTGCTAACTAAGTAAATAATAAAAAAGGGTATGTTCATTTGTTGAAGAAACCATCCAGCGACAGCCGACAGCACATAGGCAGTGATTAGTATTCGACATAATATACGTACGTAATATACTAATATCAAAGTTTATATTTTTGCTTTTCAGAACCTTTGTTCTTTGTATACCTGTATACCTATAGAAGAAGGACTTAAATATGTATTGAATTAATAAATAATATAAAATATTTATTACTTTCTAATAAATTATTACCTATAAGTATTAAAAACAATAGAAATTGGTTAAAATACTCCAACAATAACAGTAGTCAGCAGCTAAATTCGTTGGAAACCGTTTTGCACTTGCCTGACAACTTTAGCCGTGTCAAGATCCGTAGATGATTTTTTTTTTGTAATAAATTGTTAACCGTTTGGAGACAATAATCGCACTTGATACGACGCGACACCTCTTCCAAACGAACAGACACGTTTATAGGTTAGGTTTTTTTTTATTTCGCAACAAATTTGTGAGGGTTGGACACTTGGACATATTGTTTTCTTGTTGGCTATTATCTGTCAAAGCTTATTAGACAATAAACAACTGAATTTTATCGGACAGGCTGTTCTTTTGAAAATTTAAACGACACCTATACATAATTATTATATAATATAAAAATGATACACATCGATATTATTATACTTAAGTATGTTGCAAGAGACAAAATGAAACACCACCGATGTTTATAATTTTATTTTGCGGTTAATCGGCTTTCGGGAAACAAATACGAATTATGCTAAACGAATAAACGCAGGTACGCGATTAAAAAGTACAGTTCAACAGTTTCGAATCAGTATTACGAAAGTTTCGGGTATAATATATTAATAACTTGGTCGTGTATATGTGTTTAAACACGAATACCGCATGCTTCTACGCATGTCGATACTCGATTGTGTGCATTTTTTTCCTACATTTTTAAATATTGTATTATTTTTTATATTTGAGTGTGAAGACATATTTTATTCGATTCATAATATAGAACGCGTTATAGGCCAAGCACTACAATATATTTTGTTACTTAGAGTTATATGTATACTTATACTCATCTCTCATTATTTATAATATTATTATTGGCATTGCCGTATTGGTCATTATCAGTGTGAACAACCTTGAACTATAATTTAGTGAAATGTCACGAAATAACATTAATTTTGATAGTACATATTAATATCCACGAATGTAGAATGTATAAATACTCAAAACTATACCTACACTATTGATGCAATTGCGGTATTATCAAATAACGGTATTGAAATTATTATATTTTGTTTTTGTGAAATATAAGGTACTCACGTTTATGTTATGAGAAGATGGTTATTAGAAAGATACCTACATATACTTTTATGCCGAGTTTTTGTTATCATTATTCTGTACTTGGGACACAGAATTCCGAGTAATGTGCTCGAGATCGGAAAATCCGAATAAACGCGTCATATGAAGTAAATATAAGTACTGGTAAAGTATAATTTATTATAAATACTAAGTTTTAGAATAATTATACGAGTATAAGAATAATTGACACCATATTATAATCAGTTTATTATTATGATATTAATTATAATATTTATGCTATTCAGCGTATTGTGAATTGTAATAGACGCGTTACCCCGGTAGAGGTAAATCTGCGACGAGTACATCGCAGTGGTGGTGGTGACTCGTCGATCGGTTAGCCGTTAGCGGTTATTCTGCGTTGCCGTCGCACGTCGTCTCGGTGGAGCCCGTCCGACGATTGCCGGCACCTCGCCACTCGCCAGTTCAGTTTGGTGTGCCGACACGTTCGTTTCGTCGCCGTCGTTCCGCTCAGTCGAAACTCCGCCAACGTCGTCGCCACCGTGCCGTGCCGTGTGTTTAATAATATTATTGTGTTTTTTTTTTCATCGTTAATTATTCTTATTTAACCCGCAGTTATCGTTTACCTCGATCGATTTGATTTTCCGCCAAATAAAAATCAGATTTAGTGTTCCGATACGCGTTTGGTCTATGTGATTATATTAAAAATAATATAATATATAACACACAACTTGTGTGCGTGCGCTTTGGATTAGTTGTTATCGTTGTTATTATTTTTATACATTTTTTTTTTTTGAAATTTAATTTCTAAGACCGACCGCGAACCAAACGAATTGCGGAAAAAATAGTTTATCAAACCGGTTTTCCGTTGCCAGCCGAGTAGTCAAAAAGTCGTCGGACTTAGTCGCGGATTAGTAATTTTATTATTATTATTATTGTTGTTGTTGCTGTCGGTTCTACGCGAAGCAACAGTGACAGCAACATAGTAGTAGCCGTTTGCCGAACAACACACGACGAGCAAATTTAGAGGTGAGTTTCATTTCTATAATATCATGATAATGCGATTAGCGTAAATGTAAAATATTGTACAATAACATGATATTATACCTGCAGAAACGCGAGACGTTTAAACCTCTGCCGCAACGGCACGTGCATACCTATAACTACCGCCACCGAAGCCTCACGGCTTTTGACCCTTTACCACACCTGTGTGCTCGTTGCAGACACGACCTTTTGTCCCTCTTCAAATGAAAAGGGTCTGTGTTAAAGGTTTTCGAAAAAATCTTTGCTTGCACAAGCCGCATTTGGGTTTTTCAAATAATCATTCCAAGTACCGCGCTAATTGCCTTCCTACCACGCCACAACTATAAATCGTTCCTACTATAATATATTGCATAACCGATCCGGTTGATGCGTTTTCGATTGCCGTTTAATAATGCTCTGTTTTGCGATCGCCGCGTTTCCCTCTATATAGCTCTAGCTTTTGCGTTGCGTAGGTATATGCAGTTGATACGGCGGCGGTGATGAGAGCCCCTTCGCCTCCGCCGCCCACTCGGGACGATTTCGAAATTCTCCCCGCAGACGTGCTCTCAACGACGCGACTACACTCATTGAGCTCCTCTGTGTAGGCCCACTCGAAAACGCGGGTAGACGATATTTTTCCTGCCCTCCGACAAGGGACGATCTCGTCATTAATAAAATAAAAAAGCTACCCACCTATTTATCTATAATATTTTATAATATAGGCGTATTATTATTATTTTATGTGCAATGTGCATATTATACCTTATTAAAGTTCGACCTACACCTATGTGATTAAGCTTTTTTTCGTTAAAGACCTGGAACTCGCGCAATTATAGGTAGGTACGACTTTGGTTTCGAATGAAAAAGAGAAACATTTGTAGTCTCTTAACTTATTCAACCCGTGTTATTAATTTGTTTGGACCTGTAGTCTGTGGAAATATATTTTTTTACCCTCTTTTTGTAACTGTTTAAACGAATAGGTATCGATTTTTCACAACATTCCTTCGTCGTCATAGTCGTGTATGTGCGTGCCATACTGGAAACTTATTTACTTGCGTATTTGAAATAATTTCTCGGGAACCACATTTTTCAGTAGTTTCTTGTAGTAGTTACTGGGGCTTACTGATTTTTCATTAAGTGAAATTCACATCTCGTGAAATTACATACACCTTAAGTATAGTGCCTCAGCGGTTCTGTTGGTTTTAACGCCCCACAATAAAGGTGAAGGAATATTTGGAATTTTTCAAATAGGTAGTTCAAATACCACATATTACATAAATGTGTAAGGTGTCTGTGGGGTATTACATACCTATAAATTTGTTAAATTTTTTACACCATTTTTTCCTTAACTGTACATAATTATAGTATAATACCAATGCAAATTAATTTATTATCATCTTGGATGTTGGGCAGGTGTAGTTAATATAATGTTTTTAATAATTATTAATTACCTATAAATATATATATATATATATATATATAAGGTAATAATCGAACCATAAATGAAAGTTCTACAGAATTAAAAATTATAAAATTAATTTTGTTACCATGAGTTATTTGTTCTAATATTGTTTAAAATATGTTGTTTATGATAAAATAATTAATTTTTTGTATTTGCGTAAAGTGTAGGTACTATCTAGATCTATGTTTTAATCTTTTTTTTATCATATAAGTTTTATGTACTAAAATAAAAATTGTATGTAAACATGAGCTTATAATTTAATACAAATCATATAATATTAATTTTTTGAGATATTTTCATGATAACAAATGTTATAACTTTTAAATTTCAATCGGGTTTTCAATAGTTTTATATCAGATTAACCATTGCAATAGTGTTTTCTCATATTTAAAGAAACATCCAAAATTTGTTATTACAAAACTGTATAATTAGGTGCCTTGTTTTTTTTGTGCTAGATAAGTAGATAAATATATTTTTGAATCTCTGTATGTGACATGTGAGAACTGAGGAATGATACAGTCATGTATAATGTAAATATTTTCAAAATGTAACTTATTTTGCTGCGTTTAATCCGAAGGCTGTAGATAAAAATAGGTATACTCCATGGCTAGTTGTAAAACCGAATTGAACACAAATATTGTACGATAACCTATACGATTCACGCGGAGGTCAACCTAATATATTCTACTTCGGTGCGTTATTTCTTAAAATTTGTATTAACTTTATAATATTATAAGGTATTATTATGTACGTATGAGAAAAGAATGAAGATAAAAAAACGTTTTGAGCACGACAAAATAATACGGTATGTCAGTGTCGGTGTGGCTCTGACATGAAATATTATCGGTTCCACAGCCACGAACAGAAACCGTCGGACGCAACGCCGCCGCCGCGCACTTTACCCTCAATTATTATTATAATACACTCCGAGCGCCGGTAAACCGTCCATTATATAAATAGGTATTTATAATTTTATTATTATATTTCTCGATGTATGTTATTGTATCTCCTCTTTATGTACATATACGATTGGTCGCCGCGGGCTCAGGTCGGTCGGTCGGTCGTCGCCACCACTGCCTCCGCCACCACCATGGAATGCAATAAACAGCACCCTCGTAAGTCTGTTCCTCAAAATAATACACATAAGACCAGACGAAAGTCATTTGGAATCCGCATATTTTCGTATATCGGATATCATTTCCCATATAACTCGCTTACCTTTTCTGCCTTGCCCCTGCAGTGAAAAAAAATAATACTTTTAACCTAACACTCCCTCTCTATAAAAAAAAAACAATAATCCAACCAGTTATCATTAATACCGAATGCAATATAATATTATTTGGTTAAACATATAAAACTATATATTTATGTTTTATTCAGCGGTGTAGTTGGGGAATCATTGATTTGGTAGTGTTGCGTTTGTTCCGAGATTTATTGTATTTAAATCATATGAAAAAAATATTTACGAAATGGAATAAATAATAATACTCAATATTTATACAAGACAAAATATATGATCGGTTGAATGACAGTCATCTAATTTATATCAACTTTATGGTTATATATATATTCAGTTGTCAGTGTTCTTTTGGAAATCAAATATTTATTAGAATTTTTTATTTTGAGTGTTGAAGTGTTTATCTCCGAATTTATCCTTGGTTATAACACTAGTGATTTTGAATTGACAGTAGACATCATTTTAGTAGTTTCATCAAGTTTAAAACCGTTTTGGTTTGTCATAACGTGTTGTAACTTGTTAGGTATGTGTAGTATGACGACATTATTTTGCTGATCGAACGCCCGAACCAATTGTAAAATTGAAACTATTTGTCTACTGTAATTGATTACAATACTCAGTAATGAAGAGTTATCATAATCCAAAATATTTAGAATTTAAGGTACACTAATAATTACTAGAAACTAAATTGTTTTTATAATGTGGTAGGTATCTGAAAGATAATACCCTCTTAATAAATTATGTTCATTATGGATTTTTATAGAAATTTTATTTTTGGAAATATTGAATGAATTAAATTTCCATGACTTAAATGTTTATCGACAACAGCATTAGATTGTTATTAATGTAACTCATTTTAAAAACGAGTCCACGACCAATTTTTTGATACTTTGAATTCGAAAATCGCAATATATTACAAAAAATAAACAGCTATTATTTACTGTCGTAATGTAATAAAATAAATTATACTTAGCAATAGTACTTAATTCGTACGTACATACATAGATATATACTCACATACATACATGCATACATACATACATACATCTATATATTATTTACAAAAGTATAAAGTAGTTGCTTCTTTCTTTTTGGAGCAGTTTTATGTTAGTTTTTCTAGACATATACATAAGTTGTTAAAGAAAATATTATGTAAAGGGACAACGCCACGACGGACGGTTTATGAACGATTTATGATTATCAGTCTTGCAGAAAGAAAATCGTGCATAAGAGTAAAATGAAAATAAAACAACCACGAGTGTTTCTTATAAAAACAATAAAATACATAAATAATACACATATTTCTAGTCTCGCCGCTATACGTTCAATCAATAGGTAAGACACTATGACACACAATAATAATAAGTTGTCGTTCATCTCCATTGATCACAGACGTACATATCCGTCGTCGAAAATACCGAAAAACAGTATAATAATACAAAAAAGGGTTTAGGGGTAAAATACACTTCTGGAAAAGACTATCATGACACGCATGGGCGTATTTCTATCGTCGCCGTCGTCAGTTGTGAGAAAGAATTGTGCGTAAAAAAAAACCTCGTCATCACCATCCGATGTGTATAACAATGGTATACAAATTACGAGTTTTCGGTCACAAAAATATGTCCGCCACCGACGCATTGTTCTATCACTACCGCTGTTGGCGTACAGAAGGATCTGTCACATGCACGGTCGTGGTTCATCAGTCCTGCGGGCAAAGCACCTGCACCCCGTGTGTGTATCCTGTGTGTAATTATTTCGTTTTTCCGATTTTCTCGGGGTAAACTACAACACGAGGACGGTCCGATGGACAAGAATAATGCCTAGTGTGGCACATTATGTTATTGTCAGCATTACAGTTTTGAGTGTTTCGCCGAATAAAATTGTTCTTGATTGTATTCCTTAGTTGTCTAGTGCAGAGATTAAAACTGGTTTTCGTCATAAATATTCCAAATTACGCGTAATGAACAGTCGTTTTTTCTCGTATTAATACTAGGAATTTCGGGATTCGGGTTACTTGCATTTCAATTTTTGATTAAGAAATAATGAAAAAGGATTAATTCTTAAAGTTCGCCAAGATGATTACTTATTTTTTTTAAATAATATTGTGAATTTCTGCAATCCAATTTAAATTAAATTAAATACATTTGGATTATCTGTATATTTGCGTTTGATATTTTTACATGGTTAATCGCTATTTAATCAAGGAATAGTCATAAATATTATTGAGTTATTGTGTTCAGTGATAAATTATTTGATTCATTTTGGTATTATGGCTCTGGGAATCGATATTGGGTTAGTTCTATTGAA